AGGAAGACTGGTGCAGACAACTGAAGTGAATTGCAAGCTTTTATATCAAGCTACATCTTCACCTGGCACTGAAGGATGAATCAATCCACCACTTTTAATTTAAAATAATATGCTGGACCTTGGCCAGAAATATTACTGATATAAACAAATGGTGTGGTTGATGGATCACTCTGTTTCCAATAACCAATGAAAAATACCTTACTATTTTTCCTTAGTTTGGCAAAGTCCTCTTTCTTGATTAAACCTGACAGCTATAGGGATAAAAGGATATCTGAAATACTGTACCTGATAGATGTTCTGATGAAATATGTTCCACAAAGGTTTGAATCCTAACCTTTTCTGTAAGAACTATGACTCCGTAGAAGGCCTGACTGATTTTAGGAGAGGTTGTAAGATGCCTGCTTGTAGTACAGTGATGATTGAACAGATCTGGAAGCAGTACCTGAGTATTTCCAGTTTACAGCTCAGCATTTTAAGGAAATTCTGCTTTAGTGCCCATTTGTCTTAAACCATTATCAGCAAAAGTATCACACAGGAGCTGCTTAAGAAGCAGCGTAGGCACCTGTGTCATGGAGGAGGAGTTGACCCCTCAATGCAATAACCTGGTATCTCCCCCTAGGGCAGGTCATCCTTCCTGTGAATCATATCCCTATAGCTTTGGTTGGTTTTGTACTTTCTCGGGAGGTATAAGATTGAAAGGTACAGTGCCCTACACTTTGGGAACGTTTCGTCTAGCCTGAAAATTGCAAACCGCACCAAAAAAGTATCAGAATGCTAATCTTTCATTGCCTCAGACTCATTTTGTCCTTAAGGATGGGAAGACTATTTGCATATGCATTGATTAAATGGAATGCATTTGTTGTTTCAGACGCATTCATAGTAAGTTTTTATAATTTAATCTAAGTTGTGCAGAGTCCGGGGGGGAAGCAACCAAGTGCAATATATATCTACATCATTAAAATAATTTAACTGTGATGACAGCTGGAAAATAACCATAGAAGTGATTTCAGGTTGTTCCATATTTATTCACTGGTAATGATAAATCGTTGTTGGTTTTCTCAGTTTACAAGTCAAAAGACAGGTTTTTAACAAGTCAGCCTTCAGTCTGTGCTCTGTAAGTCAAGTAAACTGAGCGGACACCTGCCTAACATTTAGTCCTTGTCACCACAAATTCAAGCTTCTCACATTCATTCATTCATTTAATCCCCCAAAGTCCCCTTAAGGTAGGTAAATATAATCTTCACATTACTGATGGAGCACTGAAATGTAGGGCAGGCTGAAGGTAACTTTACAGAAAGTACCCTTAAAGAAAGGGCTTTTAGACAATAGACAAATCTTAATCTCAGAAGTTAGCTGAATAATTTTGGATGTTAGTCTAGGTGATTCTTCATTGATAAAATGTCTCTGACTGAATTGACTGTGTCTTTTGGGACCAAGCATGGTGTACTATCCTTAGTAACACAGGGACTTAACATGTGCAATGACAAAGTGCCATTTTTATTTTAAAACAGAATTCTAAGTAGAATTTTGTTAAAACACCATCCTGTTGTGATATTTGAGGAATATGACAGGGGTTAATGGCTGAAAATATTATAGGTTTATCAATCACACAATCCCTAAATAGTTTTTGAACTGTAGGTAGGGATCACTTAATCTGTTGCTGGATAACAACCACATGTGAGCTGGGAGGCAGCAGCTGTTGGAGAGCTCAGACCACTGTTAGGTGACAGTGGAGAGGGGAAAGTAAAAGAGATCTCTTTCCCGTGCCAAATACTCTTGTGGCTAAATTCTGTCTACCTACTGAAGTACAGTGACAACTTAAAGAAAAGGAAACTTAAAGTTAGGAAACTAAAAGTTAAATTATTAAGGAAAGAGATGTAAAAATGAAATCACCACATTCTTGCTTTGTTCAATATGTACATTTTCCTGGTCCTTAGCATAATTAAGCCTTCATTAGGGCTATAAAAAAGCAATATATAAAAAATAGCTGCCAAACTCTCCTCCAGTTTCTGTATTCACGTGTGCACTGACCCTTTCATTCTTTCATTCTGATGTAAGACGAAGTCAAGGTATGAACCACATCAAGACAGATGGAAGCATAGGTACTATGCAGGAAGATTATCCCAGACCTTTTACATAAATTGGCCGATAGGACAGCTCTGCAGTACTGTTTTCTGCATTGACTGTTTTCCTGGTAAAAGAGTGGTTAAGCTTTGTCTGACAAGACGAAGTCTTTACAGTTACTTGGAGGTGGGTAAATAAGGGACTTGAAGACTAAGGTCAAGGCTGCATCTTGATCCTATGAAAGGCTAAACTCTAGCACCAGATCAGAAAATAATTCACAAGAATTGAGTGTCTAAATACATTGTTTGGGTAATTCTCTGAATGCCACTACTAGTTTGGTTAATTACAGGGAAAGTCAGTGACAAAAGCTTGATAAACCCATCAGATTGTTCAGTAAATGCAATTATTACTGTGCAATACAGGACACAGGCTATAGGAACAAAATAAACAAATGGTGTATATCCCAATGGCCTGGCAGATAGCGCAGCTGTCATGTTCACCCACTAAATAATCATTGGGGAAAAAATTATAAGCACTGATTTATCTGTAAGCGAGAATACTACCCAGAATTTTATTTATCTCAGGACTGCTTTAGTCACTCTTGATTCAATCAAATGCTTGAAAACACACTTTTGCTGTCCTGTCAAGGTAACTTATTGTATTAGATGTTTCCCAAAATATCAAGAGAATTGCATATTTATGAGTCTCCAGGAAAGCCTGTAAAGGAAGGATACTAATGTTCTTGTTCTTGAAATAATATCCTCATATTGTCATAAGGTATTAGTGATTTGCCATTTTTCTTTCATGGCTATGGAGCTTTGTGGGCATTGCTCATCTCCAGCCATTCATCAGCATCTGTTAGGGCATGGTAACTTTCATTTTCTGCCTTGAAATGCTCTAATCATTGCGGTGGATTTCTGTGGCAAAAGCCTGACAGCGGTCACTCTTTCAGATTAGGATGAGATTTGCCGTGGGGCTGGCATGCAAGAAGTGGGATGGTGAAGCAGTTGTTGCAGTGGACCTTACTAATGCCTCTTGTCAGTGGCAATGCTAGAGCTAGTTATGCTGTGTTGTGGGCAATTTTGAGAAGATCCCTTCCTGTACCAGTTTGTAGGATTGTGCCTTGAACATGCTGTAGCATGTTCATGTTGTGATTTATTGCATTTCCTTCAGATTGCTGTGGAGTCCACTGTTGACTGAGTATTGATATTTCTTAATGTATGAACTGAATTTAATTTGTAGCTTAAGAAGTCCAGAGCCTGTGTATTAAAACTTCTTTCCATGTCTTCTCTCCTTTATAACAGTAGTGTTCAGGAGTGTGAGAAAAGTGACAAAGGAAATTACTTCAAAGTGTAACTCTTTATTTCTGTAATTTTGGGTTAAAACTTACTTGCTGCTTAGGAACAAATTCATTTTGTGTTAGCAGTGGGAAATACTCTCACTGCAACCTAGACCAGAACATGGATGTGAAACAACTAAGTCAAATATCTCCAAATGATATCACTGTTGAAATGGGGTTGAAATGGTTATTTGTTATGTAATATATTTGTCTAAGGTGGACTCAGTTACTGTATACTGAGATCAAGTGTGTTGTCTCACTGAAACAGGGTATGTTAACAGCCAAAGACTGAGTTTGTGTGGCTGGTGTGTAACAGGAAACAGTAATAAGAAGTACTTCCTGGATTTGAATTTTTCTTTTAGATAATCTTTCAGTAGTAACATAGTGGGATCTAGTCAATTACAGGTCTTAATGAGATGCTAGTAAGCATTTATTACTGTGATAGTGGAATGGAAATAGTTGCCTGATGATTTAAGGGTTGTTTATCAGACCATCTGCTCCTGAATAAAACTTTTCTTATATTTCTCTGAGATTAAAATTGTAAAAGACCATAAGAAATACATGGGAGACATTTGTTGTAGGTTGGCTTAATTTTTTGCAGTTAGTAATGTTTGCAAAGTTGTATGTTCAACTGCAGGGATAGTTTGTATAGTTTGTGTATTTCATGTTTGAAATAGAAGCTTATGTAAACAAACAAAAAAAGTAGATCACTAATACTTTGTGCATGTAAATAATCCATTGTAGATACCTTCAGTTTAATTGCATATGCAGATTAAAATTTCTTATTTGAAAACAAGCCTCTTAATATTCAGTTTATATTTATGTCAAAATCTGTTGAGACATGCAATAGTTTTATGATAATTAACAATGGGAAAAACATAGAAGTCTTGAAGTTTGATTTAGATAAGTACCAGAAAAATGAATGTTTATCCATCCTACACATCCCTCTTGAGTTTTCTTGCAAAATTTCTGGTTTTTCAGGCCTTGAGGGAAGGTAGACATGTACTGTAATTCTGCATTTGGTTCCCACTAGACTCCACAAGAGCAGAGAAAAATGAGAAGAAAATTACTCATTCATTTTTGAGTTTCCTCATGGAAGGGTAATTTCAGCTGGGATTTTTTTTCTGTCTACTTCCCTCATTATAGTGGTAGCTACAAAGCTGGAGGAGGTCTATGTGTTTGACATTATGAAAGTAATTCAGATCTGGATCATGTGAATCTTTTAGGTTTTTTTTTTTTCCCCTGAATTGCGTTAATCTTCAGAGTTTTCTTATTCTAATCTGTGATGTTAGTAAGTTTCTACTGCAGGCTTAGTGATGGATGCCTTGGAGACCTGTGCTAATAATTATGCTCTGAATTTTTTCTGAGGCTGTCTGGCTTTTTGTGGTAGGTTAGGAACTTGATCCCCAGCATCAAACATTACCAACTCAACTGTAATGAAGTAAGCAGCTGCGTACTGCATGACATGAAACGGCTGCACTTAGCAGTGTTCATGTGATGATGTTAAGCAGCTTTAGAGCTGGAATGCTGCTGAGCTTGTCAGTTTCCTTGTTAAGATACTTTAATCAGTCTTGCTGCAATGTTTTCTCAATGCTAGAATTCTGCCAAACATCTGGCTGGGAAGTTGCCCTCGACAGCTGGAGCATGTGACCGTCAAGCTGAAGCACGAGCTGGGTGTTACAGCTGTGATGAACTTCCAGACCGAATGGGACATTGTTCAGAATTCCTGGGGCTGCAACCGCTACCCGGAACCCATGAGCCCCGAAATCCTCATGAGGCTCTATAAAGAGGAAGGTCTTGCCTATGTCTGGATGCCAACCCCAGACATGAGCACTGAAGGTAATGCTCAAGCCACTCTTGCAGTAAATTCCAGCTTAAATAGTAACAAACCCTTTGAGTTACTAATCTGTAACTTTCATGACTGGTTTTTTCTTCTGTGTAAATTTTGCATAAAGATATAGCTGACACGGAGTATAATTTCTCTGTGTGTTGTCTCTATCAAATTATTCATATTTTCTTGTAGGTGGAGAGACTGTCTAAAATACTTTGTGTCTGGAAGTATACGTGTATTTGAGTGTAAAGCCGTCTGACATTGATAACTGCTTGACTGTTTTTGCTTTCAGCTTGAATTCAGCCTGTTAAATGAAATTGTGTTGTGTAGGTAGAAGACTGCAAACTTGCACAGCAGGACAGCTTGCCATCCTTGCTGGTTAAAAATGGAGAGATGGTGCTGTATGTCTGTTTCTACTATTCCTTTCCCGCAACAAATAGTTTTTCCTCAACTATCATATCCCAGTCTGATGAATCTCCATAAAGTCATTTATAGAATTATTTGTAATTAATTTAGAATACCCATAGCATCTGATGTTGTTACATAAATTATTATTAGTTCTTTTGTTGGAATGCTCAGTTCAAAATCTTGTTTCCAAGCAGTAGGTTAGAAAGTGTTCATGTTTTCAAGTGAGCAGCCTACCAGCAGAATTGAGTGCTTTCAGTAGAGTGAAATACAGCTGCCACAAATAGAGAACTGTCATATCAGTAATAGGACATCAGGGAAGACAGGAGACCTTAGAACAGGGGTTTGAAAGGGCATGGTGTCAGTGCTCATCTGTGCTATGAGGAAAAGTTAGGCTGTGATGTTTGAAGCTTCAGTTCCTGAGGTAACACAGGGAAAGGTCTCAAGAAATACGGTATATTCATCCTTTAAGAGTGAGAAAGGCTATTCTATGTTGTTTAGCCATATGCTTAGTACACAGTTAAATTGTAACAGTATTAAGTTGTACAGGAAAATACTCTTCTGCTGTCCCTCCTCTCTTATTATTGATGTAATGGCCTTCAACACAGTGTTTTGGAAAGCAGCAGTATGTAGGTAGCTTCACAAACCTGTTACTAAAATTGACTTTTGCCTTGCTAACTAATGCTCTGTAAGTTGTGCTGTTTGATGTAATCTGCTGCCTTGACTCAGTCCCTGTGAAAACAAACATGCCACACACATCTGATGTTAATCAGAATGTATGTTTAGAGAAGATTTGGGGCATTTTACAGATTTTGTGTTATCCGAATCTATGTTGCAAAAAAAAGAAAAACAAACAACAAAGTTAGGGTAGAGGGTCATTTGGGAAAAAACCAAAAAAACCACCACAACAACCCTAAAACATGTTAGATTTGCCATTATGATTCACAGTTCTTCAGGCTGTACAGCCATAGTCTCAAACATGAACCTAGCTTTCTCAAGTGCAAATGAACATGCCTTGTTTTTAACCTTAGGAAGGATACAGATGTTGCCACAAGCTGTCTGCCTCTTGCATGGGCTGCTGGAGAATGGACACACCGTCTACGTTCACTGCAATGCTGGCGTTGGCAGATCTACAGCAGCTGTTAGTGGCTGGCTGAAATACGTGATGGGATGGAGCCTGCGGAAAGTGCAGTACTTTTTGGCTTCCCGCAGACCTGCTGTCTACATAGATGAAGAAGCTCTGATTCGTGCTGAAGATGATTTCCACCAGAAATTTGGGCGTCTTCATTCCTCATGCAAAATACAAGAGTAGAAAAGCAAGAGAAGGAAAAGGAAGGTGAAGACTAATCCTTACATTTGAACCCAAAGACTAAGAAATCATGAGTCAGAGCCTGCCTCTCCTTTTAAGATTATGAACTTGTCATAGATGTCATGAGAATCTTGTTTAAAAAGTGCCTTTGAAGGTTTTTTATTTGCTTTCTTTAAGCTGAAACGATTCATGTTTTCAAGCCTCTTGCTGCAAGTAGGAGACCTAGAAGCTCTGCAAAGGGAAACTAAGATTTTCTTTTAACTACTTGCCTACAGAAACTGAGGTTTTAAGGTAGACACTAAATAAGGCATGAGGTGAAATAGTTGGAGTTGGCAATATCTCAGTAACAAATAAGAGAAAGCATTCTCAGAAAAACAGATACAAAAGTTGTCTGAATTAAGGTTCAGGTTAGGATGGAGCTGATCATCATCAGAGCCATTTATTTTAAATGGAGCATACATTATTGAAGTGTTTTCTAGTAATTTTGTAGACCAGTGGTATTAATGAGAAAGATGAGAAAGAAACCAATTTTTCAGCTCAGTTTCTTAAACAGAAAGACAATGTCAAACGCAGTGAACTAAAATTTGCTCTCTTTGCCTATCTAGTTAGTGTTAAATATTATGACTTACAGCTATATTCTTTTATGACATTGGAGTTATGCTAGGAGGTGGCATGAAGAGAGGAAAGAGCTCCACTTACTGCAGTCTTACTCTGTTGCAGGGACTATTATTTATTACATTGCCCTAGGCTGTGGGATCTCTAAGTCAAAGATACATTTTGCTCTTCTGGTCCATGCAGGCCTGTAAAGTGGGCTCCCTAGGTTCCAAGTGAATGTAAGCAGTAGCCACTGGGCTAAAACAGGACCTGTAGGAACTGCGTGATAAGCCTCAGTGTGTGATTGACATCACATCCTCTGTGTTGTTGACCTAGATTAACTTCCTCAATACAGCAGAAGTTTCTCCTTGTGCATGCAGTGTGTGCATGTTCACAAATGCTAGATTTAGCCAATTGAAGCTACTGCTGGGCAGTCTCTGGGATGAATGAAGTGATTCCATTCCTTTAAATGAGCAAAGAGTGACTCTGAGGATGGTTTCTCAGGAGCTTAGTCTCAGTAGACTAATGTTGGCTTTGTGGATGATCCCTAATGTTTTCCAATGCTGCTTAGTCCCTTAGCTAAACTAAGCAATGGCACCAACAGCTTCCAGCCCTGCTCAGGTAAAATCAGTTTGCCTTGGGTTAAGTACAAGAGATATGAGAGACAATTTCCTAAGGAACAGAGGATTAAGACTGCATAAACATTAATAAACCTAATTTCTATAAGTTTATTCTTCAGTAAAATCTAATTTTTTCCAGCCAGCTTGTTCCTTTAAAGACCCAGTCAGTGTCAGAGTAGTTTAGCAGATATATATGGGTTATCTTAATGGAGAAACTATTAGATATGAACTGTTTATGGAGAATGTTGAGAATCTTCAAAAGGAAAAATATTTATTTAAGTTCTTCTATGTGTGTGGGTTTGATCATGACTTTATTTCTGATTTTTTGAAATAACACTGCCTGTTTAGAAAATGGATGAGAAAAGTTCTGTATTAAATAAAAGCAAAATGACAATTCCAGCAGCCCATTTTGTCATATGTCTTTGGCTCCCAATTTCACGAGGTCATGACTACTATTTCTATATAGAAGTGGGACTGGCCATTGTAATAGTAGCAGCCCATTTTTTGTCTGCCATGCTGTGTCAGTTTTGATGTGCTGCTGAGGAAGAAATCTCAAAAAACAGCACAGCAAAGATGTGTGGATGATATGGCACCTCTGTTTCCTTCAAAGATTAAGAGTATATGACTAAGTATAGTTGTGCTGTATCACCTATTTCCTAATTCTGATTTTATCAGCAATGGAAGCAGACTGGTGCTCCATTTGTAGGGCAGGAATTTAAATGATACAAAACCCACAGATTAAAGGAAGCCATAGCAAGGAGTTGTTAATTCATTGTTTACTGACATTTCAGCAAGGGGTTATTGATTCATTGCTTATTGTCTTTTCAGTTTGCTTGTCTGCTGAACTGCTGGGGGACTGTGTCGTATACAGATTGCATTAGCTGATGAACTGCATGAAAACAACTTGCCAACATCATGTTAACAAAGAATGCCAAGAGATCCCATGGCTTGCAGCCCCTTTGTACCTATTTGTAGCATACTTTTTTTCCTCATTGTCATCTTCCTGCTTTCCTCATTGAAGACCACCCTGTTGAGTAACATTCATTCAAAGCCTGGTCTGTTGAATGCAACTAAGAATTTAAATGCATAAGAGATCATTGCAAGAGGCTACAGCAACAGAAAAAGCAATCACGTAAAAATATTCCATTTCTCCAATGGTATAATTACATGATAAATCTGCATCTAGAGATTATCTATTAGAATTTCAGTCTGTAATATTTTCTTATGCTTATTGGATCATTAGCTCTTTCCACAGACTGGGCTCTTGGTGCAATTTGGATGAAAGGATGAGGACAATCTGTTGTTCATATACTTGTGTATTCCCTTGCTACTTTAGTCATACGTGCTATAAAATTTAGAGAAGAACAACTCCTGTAGAAAGAATTAGAAACAGGTAAACAGTAACAGTTATTTTGAACTGGGCCCAAGAAGCTACTATACACAATACACACGCAATAATGGAAAACAGGTAGAAATATTTGAAGTTGTCATCAGTTGGAGACAATGGTTTTCTGCTGATACGAGCATCAGCAGAAATTCTCTACCGTGTTACAGCCATGTTTTTACCTCTGTTAAATTAAAGAAGAAAGTAGGATTTGCTGCATCAAATGGGAACATTTATATCTCAATGTCATTATTAGGCCAAACAATTGTTTATATTCTTTCCCAGGGCAATGCACACAAAGTAGCTAAGAAATCCTAGCTCTTACGAGTGATTTTGTAACAAACACAGCCCCTTGAGAGATGGGTCAGGCTTTGAGTGTTATAGTTTTGTGAATATTTTTGCTTTTGATGTCAGAAAAGTACTAACAAGAATCTTCTGCTTGACTTTTTTAAGGTAAGCAGTGCAGCCTGGTGACAAGAGACTGAGCTGACTGACACAACTGTTGAATACTTTCCTTTCTCCCTTACTCCTTACTTGTAATTTCACACTTTGAACCTTGGTCCCTTTGGCACTTATCTGTTCTAGTTGCCTAAGTGGTAAATTTATGGTCTTCCCTCTCTGTACAGCACCAAGCACAGAGAAGCTCTGGACGTGGCCAGGACTGCAGGTTTTATATCAGGTTGTACCCCAGAGTGTTTGGAAAGTCTCACACCTGGCAACTGAGATGTGTGTGCTGCACAAAAACATGTGCAAAACAGTGTCTCTGCTCTGGGTTGAAATAAAAAATTTGAGACTGTCAGCCAAGCCCTCTTGGGCAAAGATAAAGGAAAAAAGTAGACTGTAGTTTGTGCAGGAGCAGATGATAAAATCCCTATTTAAAACAAGAATGAAGAAAGTCAAACTTACTCCATTACCTACTACGGTGGCCTTTTTGGGTTCTAATTTATAAAACCAACTGACTTTATTGGTCTGTAATTGAGAAAAAAATTGATTTGAAGTAATCAAAGGCATTTGCCTTATCTGTGTTACCCTATTGCTTCTTTTACCCTTCAGCATCAAATTGCAGTGAGAGGTTTCAAACCAATGACAAAGTTAAAAAAATAATATGATACTTTAAAAAAATACACTGGGACACTGGAACAGGAAACTATGAAGAAATATTGAGAACCATAATAACTACCGCAAAAGCATATATTTGGCAAGCAAGCCCTACCTTTTTGGAGGATAATGAACGTCAGGCTGCCCTTAGCTAAAATGGAATTGGATTACTGTAGCAGAGGACAGGATATAGATGCCTGTCTCCAACTCTAACTGTTTACATTCTCAGTGGTAAATCAGCACCTCTGCAGTGATTTCTTTAAAAATATTCTGCTGGAAAAAAGAGTGAGTTTTATTTTCCACATGTATATAGCTTAAAGGGAAAGGGGCTGCTCTGAGGGAGCAGACTTTGAAATGATGGAAGTATAAAGGAATAAATCTTTTTTCTGTTGCTCGACAGCACAACAACATCACCAGTAGCAAGACCAAACCATATGACTTCATAATTAAACCCTTTTGACACATCAAGGCTTGTCTGGGGATGAGGAAGCAAGAACTGTTATGCCATGTAAATCAAGCAGGGTGACACTGTGAACCTTAGCTTTATATAATTCAACCTTTTTGTGCTTAAACATGTCTTATTTGGGAGATTGAATTTACAAAGATTGCAGGATAATGTCTGTGATTTGATAATTGCTTCAATGCTGATGTTGTTAAATTTACATCAAGGAAAATAGAAGGCCTGGTTATTCATGAGCTGGTAAAATATTAAATGATATTTCATTCTTGATTTAGATGATGTGAGGAAAAAGTGTAAAACATCTGCCAAGAAAAATTTCTAATGCTGAGCAGGTTTCTATGGTCTTTACTTAATGTCATTATAACAAAATCTGTTTTGTGGTAATGCAGTTTCAGCAGAGAAATAATTAACAGGCCATCACCCAGGGGTAGCAGCCATAGTTAAGTTGGGCAGCCAGCCCGCAGTCACTGCAACAAATCAAATACTGAAAATGAGTCCAATCTTCAAAAATTCAATGAAATACATAAACACAGAGGTTAAGATATGAATATAAAGATTGTATTTGGAGAAAGGCAAAAATATATAAAGTACAATCCTAGCTAATGTCAAGGGGAAAAATATTTTGTAGCAGGATAGCAAACACCACAACTCACTTGAAAACATAATCAATGTGTTGAAAGTATAGCTGGTATTTACAGTTCACTAACCAGTTAAAGGGGTACCACCAAACTATTTAGGCTTAAACTGCAGTTATGGTATTTAACTGTATAAAGAAAGACATGAGGAAGGGCAAGCTCTCAAGAGCACAGACCAGTTGGATACCCTCTCTTGGGCAACTGACTCATGGAGTCTACTCAAGCCAGTGAAGACTTATGAGCACAGAAGTGGCTGCTGGTGCACTGTGATCTGACAGTCAAAAATAATCCTTTGCATAGAGATATGTTGTTCTGAAATAGGATCGATAAAGCTATGCTTTAGAAGAACTAATGGGAAGGGCAACTCTTAAAATATGCTCAAATGGTAGCTCCAGGTGGAAGTCTAAACAAACACACGTTTTGATGGAGTATTTCTCTTTGCACGTGTCTTGCTGAAACAGTAAAACCCTCTTGGAGGTCTTTACCCTGCAATACTTGTGCTTGTAGCCAGAGTGGGAAAATGTAACTACGAGTAGCAGTGGCCCTGACAACAGTTAG